TTATCATCTACAGGAGTTTTCCAGTGACCTGACTGGGGTCTGAGATGCAAGCTGAGATTAAAGTCCTTGTTAAAGTCTCTTGGCCTTATTTTCTAAGCTCCTGAGAACCTGAAGCCTCACTTGGCTTTCAGAAGAGTGAGATGTCCATGCTCAACATTTTTTTGAAAATTCAGTCCCTGTGTGATCAGAGTTTACCTGATGGCCCATGGGAGGACCAGTTGGATTCCTTTTCCACGGGGTGTATTGGCTTGATGGGATTAACTGGAGGATCAACTGGTTGTAGTGAGCTCTGATTGACAGGTTCCCAGGGAAGGGAACTGTTATGACATAGCCCCTTTCCCATCCATAAGTGCCCTGTAAGATCTCAATTTATCTGCATCCCTCTGCTCACCCCCAAGAAAGACCCCAATGCATTCGGAATCTTTCCATTACCCCCATTCAGCTTTGCTCCGGAGTCTCCGAAAGGCCGAGCACAGATTCGTTGCTCACCAGTAACTCAGTTAATCTAATTTTTCGTTGGCAGAATGCCAACACAGGGCTCAAAGAGAGGACAGCATTTCCCATCCGTTCCCCTCCCCCCCCCCACTTCCTTATTTCTCTCCTGTTTGATCCTTTTCCAGAGCGGTGGGGGAGGGAGGGTTTTGAAATCTAGAACCTGTGCTTTTAAAAGAGCATTCCCTCTCCTCCAAGTCAATTCCTCCCTTTCTGGGCCCAGCCTCTATTCTGTGAACAAAGGGAACGAAATGGCCCCGTTTATCTAACTGAGGTGTGGAAAGCCTTCTTCAAATACAGGGAAAAAATTAAAAATTAAGCCCCTCCCCCGCTTAAACTTAGCCTGCCCCTGTCCAATCTGAAAAGTTACAGAACGAACAAAATAGTTAAGTGTAATCATCCAGAAAGAATTTGGCTGCCTTAGCTATTTCAAGTCACACTGGAGCATATATAGCCATTGCCAGAAAATAAACAAGACCAAATGCTGCCTTTCCTTTCTTCTGTCAGTTCCCTTCAGCTGAGCGAAATGCAGATTCCTCGTGCTCTTCATCTTCTAGCGAAGGCACTTTCCTTCCATCAGAGCTGCTGGGTTGCGGTGGTGGGGGGTGGAGGAAGGAAAGAGTCCTCTGAACTTTCAGTCCATCTGCCTTTCAATCCTTACTCAGTGCTGACACTTGCTGGAGGCAGCAGGTTAGCACAATCTTGAGCTGAATGGTCCAACTAAGGCCAGGTCTACACCTCCAGAGAAAATGGATGCAAGATACTCAATTCCAGCTATGTGAATTGCATAGCTGGAGCTGACATACCTTGCATTGATTTTTCTGAGGGGCCTCACAGTGGGAGATCTATAGGGGTACGTCTAGACTGGTGGGTTTTAGGTATCCCGGAAAAACTCTGCCGAGTCCAGGAAACACATTTGCTCTTCTGCTTTTTTTTGTGGAAGAGCAAACATGCTCTTTTGGGGAGCCCTGTATACCTCGTTCTCGACAGGGCCAATTGACGGAAAAGCTTCTTCTGGAAAAGCAAACAGAAGAAGATACGCAAATTGTGGAGCACAATTTGCATAGCTTTTTCCAATAAAAGAGTGTAGTCTAGATCTAGCCTCAGACAGCTTCTCTTGACAGAGCTGTATGGAGGATGGGCAGTTCATTTGGCAATTCAAAAACTGGCTTTTCTTCCAACCTCCGCCCCACCCCAAACATTTTCAAATTCTCTGCAAAGTAGTTGAGTCAGTCAAAACATTTCATTTCAATTCATAATTTTGTTTATAGGTCTGTATTCTCAGATATAATGTGTCATAATGGGTGTGTCTAGACTACAGGGTTTTTTCAAAAAAAGTGTCCTTTTTCGAAAAAACTTCCCGTGCATCTAGACTGCTGCCGCATTCTTTCTAAAGTACATCGAAAAAATGCGGCAAGTTTTTGAACCACGGAAAACCTTGTTTTACAAGGAAGAATGCCTTTTTTCAAAAGTGCTATTTCGAAAAAAGGCGCTATGTAATACAAACTGTGCTTTTTCGAAAGCGAGCATCCAGATTGCCTAAGCACTCTCTTTCAAAAAAGCGGCTTGTTTTTTCGAAAGTACTGGTTGTAGTCTAGGCGCTCTTTTATGAAAGAGGCTTTTTCTAAACTATCTTTCGAAAAAGCCTCTTTCAAAAGAGACTTGCAATCTAGCTGTAGCCATGTGTCATGCAGAACAAAAACATTTTCAATGACATAATTGTGAAATAATTTAACTGTTTAATTCTGAAAATATTATAATGGGACATGCTTCTGAAATAAAATTCCAAGTTGATCCCATTTTTCAAATCATGTAATTTTTTATTAAATATATTTCAAAGTTTCTCCAGTCAGCTCTACTGTATAATTCTTGCATTTGGAGCTCGACATTTCATTATTTCTGGACAGGTAAATCTGATTTGGGGCTTTAATTCATGAGCACACAAATACCTACAGATACCTACTCACCTTTAATTGAAATTACAACTTCTCTCATCCTTCCAAGTATATAAGGAAGTATAACTATGCAGATTAATTGTTGATTCAAAATTCTTCTGGCATATATGCAGATCTATAATGACCTAAGTAGGGCTGTCTCTAGACTGTATCCCTTTTCCGTAAAAGGGTTGCAAATTAGACATATCGCAATTGCAAATGAAGCGGGGATTTAAATCCCCCCCAACTTCATTTGCATAAACATGGCTGCCGCTTTTTTCCAGCTCGGAGCTTTGC